GGCTGGGACCTGACTCCCGAGGCCCGCGCGTCCCTTCACCCAAGCCCCCGCCTGGGCCTCACGGCTCGGCGCCCTCCGCTGCCCGCCCGGCCCAGCCGAGCTGACGCCGAAGAGAAGGGTGGCACCAGCCCAAGGCCCGGCACTTACTCAGGAAGGTAGGTGGAGGAGAAGGAGCTCCACTTGTGCAGCGCATAGGGCAGAAGCCGGCACTCGGACGCCGCAGCAACAGCCCCGCCAGCCGCCATCTTGTCAGCACCGGAGCGGCCGCCACCGACCGCGGGCCGCACCGAGGAGGGGGGCGTGGCCTGGCCTTAAAGGGGCCGCGGCCCTCCCGGCCCTCCTCAGCCAGAGGCGCGCTCGGGTCCGCGATTCCCTCAGAGTTCCCGACGTCGAACCCTCCCTCCTTAATGACTTACCGCAACCGGGACGGGAGTGTGAGCCCCTGAGGGGCTCTCCTGTGGGGCTTGGAGGGAGTGGCGCAAAGGACTGTCTTACAGGCGGAGGTAAGGAAAAAGCCAAGAATATATGGTGGAAAGAAAGAGATGGGAACTGTGGGCCAGGGAGGGAGCAGGAGAAGACGAGCTTGGAGACGTCGGAAACCGCTGCCCTCTCCAGGTTGTAAGCCCTGTCGGGACACAGCATTGCAGGGAACTGGAGTCCATAGCGATGCCCTTCCCTCGGGAGCGGTGGTGGTTTTAAAGGTCCTGTGCCCGGTTCCGGAGGCGCACGGGGGTGTCTGCCCTTCAGGGTGGACATTGCTTGTGAGCCTCTCGCACGCACCTGTGGGCTTGGTTTGCTCAGGCAAGACATTCAGCTCCCACCCTCCACCCGCACCCCAGACCAGACCAAACCAGAAAAAACCTTCAAGCAGTTGGGGAAGCTGTGTGGCCTCCATTTCCCAGTTGGCACATCTGCCCACTTTTACCTCGGACAGACATTCAGTCTAAAAGTTCAGAAAGAGCGAGAGACAGAGACATGTCAAGAGAAAGAGCCCGGGGTACTGACAGTCCGTGTGCCCCGAAGGCCCCAGGGGCACCACGCCAGAGGAGCGCTTGCCCTGAACGCCTGGCGGCCTTGGGCAGGGCTCCCATCCGGCGCCTGGTGGTCAGGGGCCTGCATGTGGGTCCCTTGGGGTAGCCATGGTGGTCACCAGAGGCCTCGTCACTCCTTGTCTCTGAGGCCTTACCCTTGGAAGCCCGGACCGTGTCTCCGTCTCCACCTGACCGATGGGAAATCTCATGCCAAGTCAGAACTCCTCGGTATTGGTATTCGCTTTAGGTTATCATCGTTCACCTGCCGCAGCTCCCCCAGATCTTCTCCTGAGTTTTTATTTCCACGGGGGGAAACTGCACAGTGGCCTCCACTAGCTGTGTCAGCCGTCACGCGTGCTCTGCGTGTTGCAGGAGGTCGGAAACGTATGCGTTCCTCGGGGAATGAATGCTGTAATCCCAGTGGCTCCAGCGGGGAGTCCAGAGACAGGGAGTAGGACCAGAGGAGCTTGGCCCCAAGGCTGATGAGTGGTTATCTTTGGGGGGAAGATGAAGGTGGTGACCCAGTTCAGTTCCTTGGGGGCTCCTCCTTTGCTAAGTATCCCTCTTACCTAATGTCATAGAGTCCTTGTTCTTTTGCAGACACAGAGATGGTTTATGAGTGACTTTTTTTTTTTAATCTTCACCCAAGGATATGCTTTACTGATTTTAGAGAGAGGGAGGGGAAGGGAAAGAGAGAGAAACATCGATCGTTTACCTCCCTTACACGCCCAACCAGGGATCGAACCCACAACTGAGGTATGTGCCCTGCCTGGGAATCGAAGCAGCAACCTTTGGTGCATGGGACAGCGTTCCAACCCACTGAGCCACGCCGGCCAGGGCTATGAGTAATCTTTTTTTTTTAAAAAGCACATGTAAGCCAGTTCTTCCCAAGTGACTTTCTGTGGCTTTCAGTGACTTTCTGTTCCCTTTGGGTAACATCAAAAGGCCTTGGCAGAGACCTTTCACATCCTGCTTTGACTACCTCTCCAGCCTCCTCTCTCTCTCTCCTTCCTCCTTTGCACTTTTTACTCCAGCTGCACTGGACTAACATAACACACTGGATCGGCGCCTGTAACTTGTGTTCTCTCTGGCCTCCCTCAAGGGCTTAGCATCACCGGGGAATCTTTTTAAAATCCTGATTTCTGGGCCCCATCCTCCGGAAATTCTGTTTCTTTGTTACTAATGTTGTGGCCTCACCCCATAACAAAGAAACAGAATTTCCAGAGGATGAGGCCCAGAAATCAGGATTTTAAAAAGATTCCCAGGGGATTCTAATGTGCAGCCAAGGTTGAGAACCACTGGTCTAAGCCAAGCCAGGAGTACCTTCCCCCATTCTTCACTTGTCTAACTCCTGCTCCTTTTTCAGCCTATTCCATTCTGGAAAATCATTCCTCATCACTTATTTGGGGATTATGTGCCATTTTCTACATTTTCCTTGGCACCCTGAGTTTCCCTCCTTATATTTGCAAGCATTACAATATATTTTAATCTCTTTATTTCTCGTTTTCTCTCTCCCTAAACTGTAATTCTCATAAAGGTAGGGATCATGCATATCATGTTCACAATGGTATCCTCAGTCCTGTTAGAGTGTCTAGCACATAATAGATGTTCAATCATATTTCTTGAGGAATGAATGGGTTGTGCTAAAAGCACTCATCTTTATTCATCTTGTAATCTCAGTATGGTCCTCATAGTAAATACTTCCTGGAGAGAGTAACTGATCGTATTTGGTTTGTCACCTGCAAAAAAAGATTTATTGAAAGGCTGTGATGTTCCAGGCTCTGTCCTAGATGCTAAGGAGTCAGGATATACAGACAAGCCAGACAAGGACACTGCTTTCATGGAGCTTACATTCTGGTAGGGCAACATATAATAAGTCACCTAGATAATTTTAGTGTGTGTATTTAGATGCCAAGAAGACACTAACTACACTGGAGTAATATTTAGATTGGATGGTAAAGGAAAGCTTCTCTAAGAAGGTAGTATTTGAGCTAATACCTGTACAATGAGAAAATGCCAGCCATGCAGAAGCTGGATAGAAAACATTCTAGGCAGAGAGAATAAGCAAGTGCAATGGGCCTACAGCAGGAAAGTGCTTGGTGTGTTCAAAGAAAAGAAAGTGTGGCTGGAGCAAAGTGATGGAGGGGAGAGTGCAGTCAGAACAAATAAGTCTTGGTAAGAAGTCATGACATGGAAATGCAAAGGGGAGACCTGTGTAAGGATTCAAGCCAAGGAGTAGCAAAATTCACTTTACATTTTGTAAAGATCACCCTGAAAAAAAAATTTTTTTTTTAAGTTGGAGAGGCAAGATAGTTTGAAGTAAAGAAGAATTGACAGGAGGTTATTATAGTAACCAGGCAAGAAATGACAGTGTCTTGGACTAGCAGAGAAGATAGAAATGGTTGACATATTTTGGAAGTAAAGCCCATTAGACTTGCTAATGAGTAAGGCAGGAAGAAAAGGAAAGAACTAAGAGTAACTCCTGGGTTTTGGGTTTGCACCACTATGTAGATATTGATGCTTTTATTGAGAAGGGAAAATTTGGGGATGAAACAGTTTTAGGTTGAAGGAATCAAGAATTCTAACTTCAGTGGGATGCCTAATAGATAGCCAAGTGGAATTGCCAAGGATCCAATGTGGATCCAATGACCTATATTGGTCAGAGTCTTATATCAAACCACCCCATAGGCATTTGGCCTTCTTCATAACTAACCAATCAAGAGTTGCTTTTTTTCTTTTGGCTTTGGCACAAGGTGAGTAAATTTTTCTCTGAGTAGCATGGTTACCATAGCTCCAGGTACAGCAGCTCTAGATAGAAGAAACCATCCGTGGCAGCCTTCTGCAAAAGGGGATGCACAAGTACAAGAATAGTCTAGGGAAAGAAACCTAGAGTATAAGTTGAAAATCTCAGTTTCAGTCCCAGTTCTGCTACTTTTCTAGCTATGAGACTGTGGAAAAGTCACAATTTCTCTGAGTCTCATTTTCCACCACTATAAAGTAAATTTAATAAAATGTATCTTTTCTATTTCACAAGGAGTTTTGAAGATCAAATGAAGGAAAAGTGCTTGTCTGCTATGATATAAGCTCTCATTTAATTCTCAGAGAACCCTGAGAGATAAATATTATTATTCCCCCTTTCACAAATGAAAAAAAATGAGACTCAGAAATGTCAAATAATTATTTGTCTTCTGTTTACCACCGCACCAGATGTGCAGGAGGGAAGAAAGTGAGCCTGGGTATTTGTTCCCCTGACTCCCTGCCTGTAAGACTCAGAGCTGACTGTCCTTTACAACCAGAAGTAACAAGCCCTCCTCCCAAGTGGCCTCTCCACAGCTCTCTCTGGTTCTGGGTTCCAGTAACCACCTACGTTTTGCTCCCTGTGATTTCCCGGTATGTTCTCACATCTTTATCAATAGTCCCTTTATTAAACTTCTCAAATTGCCCAATTGCAGAATGCCATCTGTTTCCAGCTAGGACCCTAACTGATAAAATAACTCATTTCAAAGAAATATAGCTAGTCAGTGACAAGTCAGAATCTCTTTGGTTCAAAAACCCATCCTTTTTTATTTCATCCGATTCTTCTAAGTGGAAAGAGACTTAGTAAACTGTAAAGTACTATTCAAATACAAGATATCGTCAAATAATGAAGATCACCAGAGTTTAAAAGCAAAACATATACAGCTGATTTTATTTGTTTCTAGGCAAAGGAATAAACTAGTTGACTGAAGGGGAAAAGCAGGTGTTTTTAATTGTTAGTAATGGGTTTCATGGTTGTTATGGGAATTAAAGATTAAAACAAATACTCCAAATAGGCTGGAATAAACCCACAGCTCTGTACATGACTAGTTAAAACAATGCCCATACTTCATAGGCTGGATAGGGGGAGATCTTCACATAGGTCCTGTAAGGTCTTACTTTAACTTACTAGGGTTGTTCAAAGTTCATGGTTTCTTTAACAACTTTAGCTGGTTTGGAGAGTTGAAGCACAGTACAGTAGTCAATGTCTTATCTCCTAGGCAAGCTGTGCTGTAAATGGAAGAATTTTTCTTAACAATGTTATTATGTAACAAATGAAGAGCCTGATACCAAAATATGTTAGACGTTATGCCTAAATTCAACTGGTCTGTTTACAGATCTGAATCTAGAACCCAAGTGTCTAATTCGCAATCACTTTTTTTCCTAATTAATGGGAAATTTTTAGCTCTACACCTATGTTATTCTTCTTTAAATCCTCTATAACTAGCACATAGTAGATTATCAAGAAATATTTCCTGAATTGAATCTCTTAGTCCCTCCTGAATTCTTTTTCACTAATTGTGTTAGTCAGTTGAGGTTGTTACAACAAAAATGTGATAGACTGGATGGCTTAAACAACAAACATTTCTCACACTTCTGAAGGCTGGGAAGTGCAAGATAAGGTGCCAGAGTATTCAGTATCTGGTGAGAGCCTTCTTCCTGATTTGCAGACAGCCACCTTCTTGCTTCTGCCCCTGGCCTCTAAAATGGATGTTCTTACATACAAAATTCCATCCCAGCAACCCCAATAGCATCAACTCTAAAGTCTATAAAGTCCAAAGTCTTACCTGTCATCCAAATCAGATATGGGTGAGACTCACCCTGAAGCAAAATTCCTTTCCAGCTATGAGCCTGTGAAGCCAAACCTACAAAGGATAGACATCCCCATTCCAACAGGTGGAAGGAAGGACAGAAGCATGTTTAGTCCCAAGCATGTCTGAACCTCTCAAGGCAAACTCCATGAGATCTCAAGGCTTGAGAATAAACCCCTTTCTCTTGATGCTCTGCCTTCTGGACACCTTCTTTCCCCCATCCCTCCCCGACTTTCTGAAGACCTCCCCCAACCCCTGCCCTGCACCTCTACCAGGCCAGCGCTCTACCTGGTGGTGGTCAAGGCTTTGGGTGAGGACTGACTGTTGTGATGCCCTTTTGAAACCATGGAGGCAGCCCAGATCTTTGAATTGTCCTCAGGGTCATCCTTCCCTAGTCTTGAAGAATAGCTTTGCTCTAACCAGGTCCTGTAAAATTCAAGAAGTCCAACAGTCTTTCTTCATTCCATCACCTTCAGTTCAAACTAGGAGTTCCTGCTGGGGAGATGGTTAGGTCTGTGGTTCACATCCACACTGATCTCCTTATCAAGTGATCAGTTAACCACACACATGGGGTTCTTTTCCAAACACTGCTTTCTCATTTTTTTGTAATATGGACAGGCTGGGAAATTTCTGTATCTTTAAGTTCTGATTCCTTTCTCTTAACAGTTCCATCCTCAATTTATTTCTCTCTTTTTGCATTTTACTATAAGCAGTCAAATAGAACCAAGCTACTTCTTCAACACTTTGCATAGAAATTGCCTCTGCTTGATGTCCAGTTTCATCACTTGTAAGTTCTACCCTCCACAAAACACTAGAACACAAACACAGTTCATCCAAGTTCTTTGCCACTTTATAACAAGGATCACCTTTCCTCCAGTTTCCAATACCATGCTCCTCATCTCTGTGTAAGACAAGAATGGTCTTTATTGTCCACATTTCTATCAACATTCTGTACATAATTATTTATGTATTCTCTAAGAAGATAGAAGCTTTCTCTCCAGCTCGCCTCATCTCTCTCTCTGAGCTTTCACCAGAATCACCTTTAGGGATTCCTTCACAGCAATATTGACTTTTTCTAGCATGCACCCAGTGTAAGGTCTCTAATGCCATCATTAGGTTCCACCCCCATGACCTCATCTAAACCTAATTACTTCCCAAAGGCTCCATTTCCAAATAACATCACATAGGGGATTGGGGCTTCAACATATGAAATTTAGGGAAACACAAACATTCAGTCCATAAGCACTAATTTATTATTATGTTTTTTTAAATAAAAGGAATTTGCTTAAGGGTCATCTATAGATTAGAAGACTAAAAGAATTATTTTATTCAATCTATTTTTTGGTCAGTAAATGAAGAACATCACCTTGGGAATTAGAAGAGTGAATTTGCCCCAATATAATTCCCATTGGACATTTCTTGCATGCCAGGAATTTACCTGCATTATTTATATAATCTTCACAACAGTCTTGCAAGTAAACTCAGTTTCTTGGAGGTTAAGATTCACCAAACTCATGTGTGCCCTCTTTATTATACAATTCTCAAATGTATGCATTCCTAACATCACCCCAGCATTCAGGATCCAGAAGACCAAGAGGAACAATTTGTTGTATTCCTAAAGCTAACTGTTCCTTCTCAATCTTCTGTTCTCTCATGATTTCTATATTAACTCATTTCAACTTTTCTTTGAGCACAGCACTACCAAGAGGAGCTGATGAAAAGCAAGTGCCAAAGTTTCATTTGAAGGGGTATTCCCTTTTATTTTCTAAGACAAAGGAACTTCAGCCCCATCGGGGCCTTTGCACAGGTCTTAGGTGAACATTGAGACTAGCTTCAAGTGTGAAGCTTGGGTCCGCTTCTCCCAGGAGGTGGCAGCAGCAGCAGCCACAGCCTGCTAGAGAAATCAGACAGAATTCCTTTTGCCTATTGGCATCCAAACCTAGAAATTCCTGGTTCCAGCAACCACTAAATCCCTCCTTTCGTTTGCTGAGGTTGATTGGAGCCGGGGCACAGGAACTGGCAACAATTCCTCTCCTAAGTGCCTAGTTTTTATAAACACTTTGGTCTGAGGCGTGACCTTGAAGCATGTGTGAAGGAGGACCAGGAAGTCTTTGGCCAAGGAAAAGAGCTTCAAAAAGAAACTGTAACTTGAACACTTGCATCCACACGGGCATAAATCCAGAGGACCCCAGCTCCCACTTCGGTGCTGCACCAAGAATACAGATTCTAGACCTAGCCACCAGCTACCAGACAACTGACCTTGTCGTTGAATCTGCAATTTCCTCAACCACCTAGTGTGGACTGGGTGATCTTTAAGTGCCTGCTAATTCTTAAATTATGAGTTACTGAACTTTCATTTTTCTGGATTAAGTAAGGTTGGGCCTTCACCTTTTCAGAATTGAAAAAATCCCACACGCAACAAAGAACTACTGGTTCCAAGTTAATCCCAGGTGAGCACATATCCTGGTTTGGTGAACCCTGCCAGCTGCCTAGGAGGTGGGCAGGAATCCCAGGAAATGTCTGAACACCACACGGCTAAGGATGAACTGTCTACTGCTGAGAGTTACTTTGCAAGTTACCACATCTAAATGAATCTGACAAAATAATATTCCAAAAAGCAATTAACACTGATTCCTAATGTATTTAGAACTAAAAGGTCTTTTGGGAAAAGTGAAATTGGCTCAGAAAAAAATTATCCAGCCCTCTGGGTAAAGAAATGTTTGAGGTTAAGAGGATTCTTAAGTCAGGATCTGTCAGTGCTTTTTGTCCCAACACCTGGTCTTTTGTGAAGGAGGAGACAGAACTGGCTCCTCTCATTCCTCCATCCCATCCCACCCCACTTCATCTTGGCGCTATCACCTTCACTGGACTGCTTAAACGTTTATCTATTCATTCAGTAATCACTTATTGAGCACCTACTATGTGTCAGGTGCTGGGGATACACCTAACTATTAAGGAGCTCACAGTCAAGTAGTCAGATTATTAAATGGGCTAAAATAAAGAACTCAGAAAGGATTAGCATATAAAATATGAAGAAATAATAGCGGTCATAGTGGTGGTAGCATTATTTTCATAAAGACCACAGGCCAAATATATTTCCCAATTAAAGCTATCCCCCTAACATCGATATATTAATATTAGGCCAAATATATTTCCCAATTAAAGCTATCCCCAGAACATAACGGAATTGTGTAAAGATAATTTCATTGTCCTATTGGCCCCGGTGGGTCTGTCAAGGCAACCCTCTTCCTATTTTCCATGAAAGTCATCATATTAGAATCCCATCCTGGGTCAGGAAGCTTTGGTCCCAGAAGGCCACTATAAATGGAAATATGTGTCTGTTACCAGGCATGGGCTGAGAGGGGACAGCTTCCTCCTCTGCCTTTTCCTCCTGAGAATATTAGCACAGGTTATACAGGTTTCAGTGTTCCTGAAACAGAAGGAACTGAGGGATGACAGAAATAGGAGAGCATGGTGATAGCAAATTTTAGGCTGGCTCCACACTAGAAAAGAGAACCATATCCAATTTGGAGAGCAGGTCAGAGAATAAGGCAACACAGGGATGTCCAGTGGGACCACAAACAAGCAGAAGAGAAGCAAACCATCTGGTTCCCCCGCATCTCAGATCAGTCTGAGGAGGTCAACTGAAGTTTTTCTTCTAAGAGATGCAAGATGCCCTCATATGCTGGAATCAGGTCAAATCATTTCTCAAATGCAAATCTTCATAGAGACCTTTCTTATCATATCGATAATTTTTATTTCCTCCTGTATATTTCCAAATAAGCTCAAAATGATCCCCTCCTCTAACCTTTACAACCGCTTTTCAGCCATGCCATTTACTAAATATATAGCACAAGGGTTGAGAACCTTTGGCCTTTGACTTAACTTTATCCAGTTTAACGTAAGTCATTAAATTTGCTCGCATAGCCCCAAAACCCAGCATTGCAATGGGATTCTGGTGAGCACATTCACAGAGAAGCGTCTAAGCCAGCAGTTCTCAACCTGTGGGTCGCGACCCCTTTGGGGGTCAAGACCATCGAAAAACACATATATAATTACATACTGTTTTTGTGATTAATCACTATGCTTTAATTATGTTCAATTTGTAACAATGAAATTACATCCTGCATATCAGATATTTACATTACGATTCATAACAGTAGCAAAATTACAGTTATGAGGTAGCAACGAAAATAATTTTATGGTTGGGGGTCACCACAGCATGAGGAACTGTATTAAAGGGTCTCGGCATTAGGAAGGTTGAGAACCACTGGCTAAGCAGTGGCTCTCATGCTTGGCTGCATATTGGAAACACATGGGAAACTTTTAAAAATCCCCATACCACGTCCCAAATCAATTACATATTAGGTGTGGGACCTAGGCATCGATATATTAATGTTAAGTTCATGAAAAGATGTATATGTGCAGCCAAGGTTGAGAACTTTTCCCTTTATGTCTTAGGACAGTGACAGGCCAAAAGCCTGGTAACTGACGGGCAGGAAGCCGGTCAGCTGGTAACTGACACCTGAGCTCTCCTGCTTCCTTTGGAATTTCTCCTGAATGTCTGCATGGAGAAACCAGATACTGCGATGGTGCTAGCTTGGACCTCCCCTTTGTAAGGTTTCCATTTCAACTTTACCACCTTATTCACTAAGTCTACATTTAATATTATTCCAGTACTTAAAGAGCTATCAACAGTGGTTAATCAGTTTGTCAAAGAGAATTGTAAACAAGTGATGGTGGTATAAATGCCATGCTTTAGAAATCCCACATTCATCTTTAAAACAAACATAAATGTATTTTTTTAAATCCCCACACTACTCAGTCTTTTCCCTCTCCTCCTTCTTTACCCATTTTTCTCTTCCCCTTCCTCTCTGCCTGTCTCCTTCACCTGCTCTCCCAGGGGTAACAGGGTGTCACTGTTACCCCTTGTTTATCTTGTATTACCCTCTGCCTCATAGCTTCTGCATCTGAATCCATTTTTTACTCTATTCTCTTCCCCTTACCCACACCATACATTGTTTCCTTTATATTTCACACTTATAGCTCCTCAATTAACTATACTGTAGAACAAAACCATTGTCAGATATTTATCATATTAAATAAGTTATTTTGTTGTTAATTTTAAAAACAGATGAGTTCTGAAAGTGCTATATTTCTCTCTCCAAGGAGAAAAAGTGCTATATTTCTCTCTGTCATAGTTAGCACTTCTTAAATACTAATTATTTTGATAACTTCCTGTATTGGCCCTAGATTACTTTTTTCCAAGTTCAGTGACCCTCAATAGAAAAATGTTCCTCTGTTCTTCAATAATCCCAACAACAGCAGCTGATATCAATGTAAAAGAGAAACTAAAAACAGCAATTGAGTGTATGCACCCTGAATTGCATATTCGGTTGCAAAGTCATCATCCTGATTATTATTGTAATTGCAGAGGGGAGGCATTTAAATAATTGTTCGAAGTGTCTTCTTAAGGAAATAACTAAAACAGGGCCAGTTGTCACAAACTAACCTACAATAATAATCTTGTATATGCATCTTCAGTATTCATAGCAACTCTACAATAACAAATTTGTGCATTCATCTAATGTCCTTACGCAACCTAGGAAATAACAAACAAACCTTGATCAGAGCCGGTGTCTCACTTGGTAGTTGACCTGTGTGTTTAAGCAGTGTCCCGGAACAACCTCAGAAGCATAAACCACCAAACAAAAGTTGCACCATCAATTCAATGACAAACTCGGGTAGGTGACCCAGCACCCACCTGCTTTGTTATGGCAATAAATCTAGGTACAAGTAGCGTGGAAACCAGGTAGATAGGTCAGCACACAAACTAAAACATTTATGAGAATTATCCACAAAGATAGACAGGTTTTATTGACTTTAAATTTGTAAACAAAGAGGTACTGTGCGAAAAGAGGGAAGGCCTTGTTTTGAGTTTACTTGTGAAAGCCTAAAGCATTTGAGATTTTTCTCTTCCCAAGATACAGCTGTGAAATGACTAATAGGAATTAAGTGAGCCTGCATCAGGAACTGAATGTGCCACTTCACTGGGAACAGAAATTGTTCCCCTGATAGAGGCTGTCCTCTCAGATTAGTACCTTGGGTGTTTTAAAAAGGATCAGCCAGACACGAATATGGTGCATTTATAAAGAGCAAGAATCATCCAAGCACCTTTGCAAATTTTCTTTATGTCTCAGTGCTTCTGAATCATGTTTATATCTTAACTTCGATGTTCCTGAAGAAACTCAGGAGAGAGGGAGGAGGAGGAAGAAGATTTCCTATCACATTGTTTTTTCCTTGCTGGGCTTTCCAATAGTAGTCTTGCTGAAGGCTTGGTCTGAGCAATTTAAAAAGGGTGAATGACTCAAGACTGCTTTAATCATACTGGTCTGATTCATTCTTCCTAAATTCTAAAAATCATACACCCAGTTGCAGTGGCTCAATATTATTTTCATATTTGCATCCCCAGCTGAAATCAATTTGCCTACACACATCCTTGTCCT